AGTTTTTTCTTGTTCGATCTAAATGACGGTCCTGATTTTCTTTTTTTTTTTCAGGTGTGCTCAGCCGCTGACGGGTTTTAGCGCGCGTTGTATCGAAGATGAATCTCTGATGGGTTTAATTGCAAAAACAAATCCATCCTGTTCAACACTTTATTTGATTGATACACGATCGCGGGTTTGTTCTTGTTTTTTTCCTAAATCGCTGATAGGAGGAGGAAAGAAGGCGGGAGGGAAGGGGGGGAGGGGAGGGGGGAGGGGAGGTGCCTCAGTTTGCTGCACCTGCAGCAGTGAGCTTTCTTAGCCTTGGATTGTCGGCTTTTTGTTCTTGCCCCTTTATCCTCATGGTTCACACTATGAGTATTGGAGGAACTATAATAAAGTGTTTGAATTATTTCTATGAATTTTATTGAAATTTTTTTCCTATTTTCATAATATTCATGACGGTAATGGTGTTTTTCCAGGTGAATGCTATGGTTAATAAAATGCAAGGCAAAGGATTTGAAGATGTACGAAATTATTCAAATTTGCGTTTCCACTTCTTTGATATTGATAATATTCACGTTATGAGGTCCAGTTTAAATAAACTTCTGGATGGTAAGTGAATTTTTGTAATTTATAGAGTTGACATTTATGTCTGTTGTTGTTGTTGACATTTATGTCTCGGAAGGATAATGCAGTGACGGGGCATAGGAGTTTTTGCCTGGCTTACGTGAGGTTCCTGACGATGAAAGATCCAGTATAAGTGGCCTAGGTTACGGGATGAAACAAATGAAATTAGGATGTGTTAAGTTGTTTTTGGCTTATCACTTTCGTGCATTTTTTTGACTCACTGCCAAAACAAGACCTTATAGGAAGGGGTCAATAGTAAAAGTAGAGTAAAAACGGTGGAAATAGTATAAAAAGGCATCTAGGCATGAGAAGTTGTGGACAAGTGAAAAATGAAGACGTAGTTGGAGGAGGGGAGTGGAGGAAAAAGAGGTTGAGGAACTGACTTGGTAGTTCTGACTTGTTCCCAAAAATCCCTTCAAAAAAGCAGTTTCATCTATGCAGCTAGCAATTTTACCAGTTACTTTGACCAGTGCTGTTTCGCCTAGTGGTCATTGTGCTGGCCATTTTGAAATTTTTTTCGTTTTTCGAAGGAATTTTTGGGCTGAAGCCATTGAGGTTGTATGAAATGCACTTCATATTCAACAAAAAGAAAATGACCGGTATTTTAG